AGGTTCTAAAATGGGTGGTGAATTCACCTATAGTGGTTTTGACCCACAGCCACATCCCAGGGACAGGGTGTGTGATACGCTCAAAATGCGAGGGTGTGGCAGCACACGGACACGGCTGAAAAAGCAGTTGTTCTGAAAAGTTTACTAAAGATTTGAAGGCTGAACTAAAAATTAGATCTGCAAGGAAAGGACGTTTGTCATGGTGAGCTCGATATACCCCCTGGTGAGTGGATTGGCCCCAGAAGAAGCAACCGATTTGTTGTTTACCGCCAAAATTTGGTCTTCCCAAAAAGTGACTCACGTCCAGGAACTCGGGAAGTGAGCGCCCTACAAAAGGGTAGGCTTCGCTAAGGGTAGCCCTGTTCGGGTGGGTTGATTTGAGGGTACCCCTTGTCAGGTTGGTTGAAAGGCAAGCCAAAACGAACCCAGCCAAAGCATTGGAGAGGTGGCTTTGATACAACTGCCAGAATCGAACGAACCGAAGCAACCATCGGGCTCCAAATCTGGGAGCAACCCCAGCCCCGAGCAAAAGGTTGTAATCCACCTGTAGGCTTAATGGAAAAGCCTTTTAAAGGTTGTTTCCAAAAGGTCGGGGAGATTTGCTCAGCCAGACATGGTTTCGGAAACTTGGACACCTCTATTGTTAAAACCCCTATTGTTTGAGTAGCGTCCCTTTTGCAAAAAAGCTTACACTCCCATTTGTCCAAAGAACCACCCGTTTGATTTCCAATTCAAATGCCCATGGCTTTCTTTGCTTAAATAATTGTGCCCGACCGCTGGAAGGCCTTTCTAATCATTCATTAACGTTAACCATGCAATTGATTGGGCGCGGAGCTATGCTAATGGACGTTGCCTTGGAACTTGAATCTGAAACAAGCGGAGTAGGTGAGAAGCTCCTGCCAGCAGGGAAAGCGGGTCCCTCATAGCTCACTTGACACCAATCATGTCACCTTTCATACTAACGCAATACAAATCCCTGAACGTGGCAAAGGTGACAACAATGGAAAGCCTTTCCTTGTCTTAGGTCATCTAACAAGAGGGGAATGAAGCACCGCACTCTTCCGTCTTGTTCCCTTACTGCTCCCACACGCCGGCCAGGAGGTTTCAGGTGTCTACATGAGCAGCTCGCAGGTGTGATCGCACTGGCCTCTGGCCTGAGAAAGTTCTTGTTACAGGCGCAAGGGAAAGGAGTATGACTCAGCATGACAAATGCAGAACTCACATCCTGGCCCAGCCCAATAAGCTGAGCCCAAAGTTCGACATGTTCTTCGCCTTTTAGCTTAGTGCTTCCTCAAACAAACAAGCAGACAAGGCCACCCGCCGAACAAAAAGCAACGAACAGCTGCAGGCTTTTGCCCCACCAATTCACATCCCCGCGTTCTTGCCACCGCGCGGTTTGCCTGGTAGGCCTCCGGAGCAGCAAGCTCCACCTCCTCCACACGTGCCTAACCGAATGATTCGGGTATGCTCTTTGAGGACCATAACTGGAAGACGTGTTTCGAAAGCAGTTGATCAACCTACCTCACAAATCCCCAGATTCGTTGCTGATTTCAGGGTTGCTGCAAAATGGCCGAGTCTCAGGTGATAGATTCAAACAATTGCAAACATGGCAATTGACTGTGGGAACCACACCGACTGAAGCTCCAAAGTCGCCAAAGCTCTGCCCAGGTGGCTGCAATGTTGGACGTTTCATCTCAGACAACCGCCAGCATGGTAGCTTTGAACTGGTTTTGGGGCGTCGGTGATCCTCCGTGGCGGCCTTTCGCTAAGCAAATGCCATCTACCATAGAACCTCACTACAGGCCCATGGAAGGTTCCATATTAGCCGATGGAAGGGTAGCCCGAAAATACTCCTACTTGATCACGCTGGATTCTGCCACTGCGCTCATGTCCCAGGCTGCCCCCATCTGCGGAGTTTAAACAAAGAAAGTGCCAGGCTCTCAAACAGGGGGTTGAATCAATTGTCCTGGCGCGTCCAACCAACACACACACACACACACTCTGGCCGATATGTAATTAATATTGAAATGTCAACTCAGCGTGGGCTTCCAGCTCTGAAGTGACCCTAGTACAAAAATAAGAACCTTCGGGGTTGACATGTTTGGGGTTGACTATTTTTGGAGAGGAAACAAAACAAAAAGAGAAAGGGCAACACGGATGTGACCGGTGGACTGTGGGTACACTACCAGTACAATGGCTTAAGCTTTAAGCAAACATGTGCGAACCAAGTGGCTGTGCACGCGTTGTCCGAAATCAACCAGTGTTTGTGAATGTTTTGGAAGGCACATCTACAATTGGCAAGAAAGGGCCGGCCAAGGTTTGCGAACCCAATCAGCAACATGCGAACACACTCGAGTTCGGCAAAGCCTTGGTGAACCCCGGGCCAGGCCAACCTTTGCAAACGCATTATTGCTGTATCCATTGAGCACTGGCCAGATGGTCTTTAGCCTAACAAATGGTGCGCTGCCAATACTTTCTCTTAAGACAGCACTCCTACCAAACAAAACTCGGCTGCTGAAAACCACCAACAAGGGAAATGGCCATGGGTCAAAAGCCCAGATTCCCGCCAGTGAGCATCCCAATCCCCGCTAAAATATGCTCTCAAATGCTTGGTGAATTCACCTACCCCAAAATCTTATTGGTTGTGACAACCACAGCCAAATATTGGGACCCTGACTGAACCGGGCGTTCAACTGCTCGTTGTTGCCCAGGCTCGGTCCCCAGCACCAGCACCTGAGCACCTGCTTGCTCAACTGCCCGCTGGCCCGCGCCCTGCACGCCCCTGGCAAGCAACGGCCCGTGTGCCAGCGTTGCCAGTTGCCGTTTTTTGGCCGTACCAAGGCTGGTGGCAAACGTTGCCCCCGCGCAACGTCTGATACGTGGGTGGGGGGGTGGGGTTGTTTGCTTTCAAGGGAAACCAAGCGATTGTTGTTGCAAAAAGTGGTTGAAACAGGGGGAGCTTCCCCCAAAACAGGGTACTCAGATGACCCGGCTTGGCTGACAAGCATAGGGTCATAGCCGTAGGATTTGCCAGGTCTTGTGGCTATCAACGATGGCAGGCATAGTATCCACAGCACCGCACCAGGAGATCTTAGAAAGGGCTGCTGCCTTGCGACCTGCGTGTTTCGCTCTCTATTGTTGCACCCGGGCAATCCAGGACAAGTGATAAGTCACGTCAGCGATGCTCGCTTCGGTCCTTTGAACGTTGAGTATGGCAAGAATTGCAGATATGGTGGACATGGAGCAGTGCCCACGTTAAGCGCTGCTGAGCATCTGTTGAAGCCTGGCTTTGGCAATATTTAATAAGTTCTCCCCATCGCCTGATCACATTTGGCAAGGATGAAACAAGGTCCGCCATCACTAGATCATTGGCTTAGCCATGTAACCCGACAGGAAGCCTGCCCGCGCCTGCAGGCGCTGCTCAGAAAGCTGTGAACCGCCCGGCCTCACTCGTCTCTCTGCCGGAAGTGGTGCTGGTGGTTATGGTTGCGGTGGTCGTGATGCTGGCCACAGCGGTGACACTCAACTCAAACAGGTTCACGCGCCGTTTAGACGTTAGGTTCTTCCAATCATGCACTTTGCGACTGTTTTACCTTGCCCATGCCCCACCGAGCTCACACAAGCCCGCAAGCGCCTCGCACTGGGGCGCAAGCTTTGCACATGTCGGCCATGGGGCGCAGGAAATTTCAGAAGCTTCCTCAGACGCACAATCAGGGGGCGTTGCATTTCTGCCATTGAAGAATAGTTCGCCCCACAACCAACAAGATCTGCACACAATGCTACAACCAACCAGTTGGAAATAAGGGACTGCCGAGAAAAAAAGCAATCTTCTCATGCGTGAGCTTCTTGCTCGGTCACATACGCTTGTTGTAAAATCAGACCTTTAACTGCCTTTAACGGACCGTTTCATGCCATGATTGATGGGTCCAAATGGTGGAAGACCAATTGAAACTTCACAGTGTCAGGAGCCACAAGTCTTGATGAAAAGTCGGGTACCCATTCTTCAAGCGCGACTTTGCCCAGTGTCACAACCATTTGCACCTGTCCAATCAGAGGGCAAGTCAAACATTGGATTTCCTTGAACATGGAACAAGCGGGATTTATTTACTGTGCAGTACCAGAACATTTGGGGTTGTGATTATGATATGGCTGCTTCAAAATCTACTTTGGGCAAGGTCGGCGTTCAAAAATAAGCTGCAGGAATTGGGGGTATCCCTGGGATAATTCATGCCTCAGGCTTAGGGTTCATGCTGGAGCCTTAGGATTTCTCAGGGATCCTTACGCAACCTACCCGCACTGATCTTCTTGTCATGTCCTTCCCACACACCCTGAAAATCAACTCGAAAGTCCGAGTAGACGCCGCCCGGCAAATGTGCGAGATCCATGGCCGACCCATAGATGACAGGGACCACGTCTTTGCCAGCTTTGGGCAAAGCGGTGGTCTGAAGATGTTCGATGCAAGAACACTTATCTGCGGTTCTACCTTCGATGGATATTTGGGGCCTTTGAAAATCATGTACTTCACATATACACACACACTCACGTGAAATATGGCGCCCGGCCCAACTAAGGAACCTGCGTTACGGGTGCGAAACCCATCGCCATACTAATACATTGTTGTTGAGGTTAAGTACTATGTTGAGATTGCCAAGAGGGGATTAGGGATGCAATTCAAAAACCGCGCATGATGTGTTTGATTCGTGCCATGTTGAACTTGCATGCAAAGCACAAACTGCGGCTGCAAGACAAAGCGCGTTCGCAAGGCAAAGGACAAGAAACATGAGAGAGCGCAATAACTCTTGTTTTTGAATATCCAAAGTGTGTCTCGTCTTATACAGGTATAGTCCTATACTTGGCGGACTAAATGGATGGTCTGTGTCAAATTTCCCTTGCAGCACCAGACAAAGGGGGTCCCCCATCTTCTGACACCCCCCACACGTTTGCAATGTTTGATCCTTTCAGAAGGCAAGCACACCTGATCTGGCTGGCATTGGTAGCGCCTGTGTCGCAATGTGCGATGGCGACTGCCCCAAAACCTGCGCAATGGTCCGATGGTTCCGCACTGCAAATGCGCCGACCATGTTGATTGCAGTGTCCAACTGGTTGTTGGCATGTTGATGTGTCCAAATTTCAAGTAAGCCTTTGACGCGTATCCAAATACTTCCAGTTGACAGTGTCAAAACCAAGCGGAATCGTCAAATAAGGAACCTCCAGAATGGGCGTTTTCCGCCGTAGCTCTCCCTTGAAAGCAACCCCAAAGCAAGCAAAGCTCGACAAAATCATAGATCCGGATGCTGAGGCCACCGCCCTGCACTGCAAAGGAGTACTGAGCCTCACCCTTGTCATCCGCCTTTCAAGGAATTGGACCCCATCCAGGAACCATCTGGGAAAACTCATCATTCACTAGCTGGACAGGATAAGGTCTATGATAAACCAAACAAACGGAAAGGAGCAATACCCCAAGGAAACTCGGGCTGATTTCCCCCCCCTCCCCCACGAGGTGGTGCGGAACCATGTTTGTGGTGCTTGCGTCGACACTATATGCGTCTAAAATGATGAAACATGATAAAAAGAACACCATTGATCGTGACAACAATAATCTCAAAGAATGGCGGCCTAAAAGCAATGAAGCCACAAGCTCCGCAGGACATTTAGTATGCAGGAGTAGGCAGAAGCGCTTCCACCTCACTTGTTGCTGCTGATTGCCTCCTATCTCGCTCCCTCTGGTTTCGCTCTCTTTGAACTCCCACAAGGAGTCATCATGTTCTTCACCCAAAACCATCGAAGGGAAATACAACACATTTACATGGCCACAAACATTGCTATGCATGACCCCTCGAAAGAAAGACAAGTATCTGGGTGAATCCTGGAAGCCTAATGATTCATCAAGCACCTGCGCACCACGACGGCTTTTTGGGCAGCGGGGTGTCTTGGACTCGAGAAAAAGCACTTCATCAGCCCAAGGTTCTGAAATGGGCGTCCAAAGTCCTTGAAACCATTTGAACCCCACCCCCCCCCCCCCGACCGCCCCTTCCGGCCAGCACCACCGGGGTGGAGGGCTTAAAGGCCACCAGGCGCACCAGCGGCGGCAGCCACCGGGCGTCGCCTCGAGGTGAGCGGCGTGGAAATGACTTGCCCCACACGTGCTTTGCTATCATTTTTATGAGTTGGTGGATGTGATGAAAATCTTAGCGTTTTTTTTTTTTTTTATTATTATTATTATTATTATTATTCTTACTGTATCTTACTGTGTCTTCCTATATCTTGCTGTGTTTTGTTTCTTGGCCAGCAAAAGGGTTAGGGAAGATTGCTGGCTGGCTAGTTTGACGGCTCCCAGGTTTACCCTGACGCCCTTCACGCAAAATGGCAGGCCGTCTTTGTTTGCTGGGTGATGCTCGAGGAAAACCGTTGTTTGCCCGCTTGAAAATCCAGAGAAATCTGCTTGGCCAAACCACCCGGCCCGTTCGACCCGCAATTTGCCTCCACAGAACTCGGGTTGCCAAACCTTGGTCTTTTGCATTTGGAAACCTGGTGACGTTCAGCGCTGCCTGGTTCAAAAGAGGTTGGTCCTTGTGCCATATTTGAGAGAAGTTTCGCATACCCCCCAAAGAAAACCTGCTGTTTTAGAGGACAACCAAATAGGTGTTCCAATCAGGCGGTCTTTACTGAAAAGGTCCAAGTATGACGCAGCCTTCCAGCCTTCCTTCAGCCAGGAGGCGAGTGAGGGCGTCAGGTGGCCACTCACCGGTACGTCGCATGAAATCTGCCTGCGCACGGGTCCCGCCGTAACTTGTCACTGCCCTAGCCCCTGTTTCTTGGATGCCATAAAACAATCTCTGAAAGAACGCGTGTCAAAACACTCTGCAAAAGAGATCGAACCTCTTGCGATATCTCCGACTCCATGTCACGTCGATTTACGAATGTGCCCCACATGTGCGGGCGCCTGCAGCATGGACGTATCCACCACGCTCCTCAGTCCAACGCGGGCGCACGCACCCCACGGACACGCACACCCACATCCTTTCGTACTAACACACACACACACAACTTCACACACACACACACGCCTACACACACACACACACAACTTCACACACACACACACGCCTACACACACACACAGTCTTCTAGGAATTGAATCTTGACGAACTATAACACCCCGGATTTTAGCTGCAAATGATGGAGGTACAATGTTCCGAACCTGTTGTAGGGTGTCATGCACAATCAATGTGATGTTCGGAGTTGAATGAGCTGAAATCGGGTCCAAGTGGTACTGCCGAACTCATAGTAACAACAAACAAACAAACAAACAAACAAACAAACAAACAAACAAATGTTAGTGTTGCTTTCGGATGCAGACGGGGTGTTTCGTGTGTTGTTTGAGCACATCTGACCATGGCCGGGCCCCAATGGCGTCCTCAAATGGGGCTCTGGGTTCATCTTTTGCTTGGCGTAAAGCATCAAGACGCCGGGCTGGCAGCCATATGATCCGCCAGTGAAAGCTACCTTCCAAGGACACCCTCCCAGGAAGACCGTGGCTTTCAAGCTAGGCTTCTGAGGCCTTTGCAGGAATAGGCCCAGCAATGGCTTGCGATACCGGGCCACGGATTGAAACAGATCTATATTTCATAGCCAACCTTTCCGCCATGTCGGCTCCCCCTGTTTTGAACAATCCCAAACACATTCAGGGGTCACTGCATGTTCTTCAAAAGTTGATCAATTTAGTGGCGGTGCCCATGAAACTGCCACCTTTGGAGGTTCCAAAAAGGGAAATGCCTCGCAAACCCAACGACGTTACGAGCTCGGCTTTGAGGCCAAGACTGGGAGTCCTGATCCTTTGGCCTTGAGAAACGAATTCGGGCCGGGTGGGAACAAGCGATCAAACACGCCTCCGGCAAGTGTCCGAGGGCGGGGGGGGCCGGTTGGGGGGGGGGCGAGTGGGGGGGGGTTTTAATTACAAATGCTCGCTGTGTTCACCTAAGAAAAGCAACGCCTGGAAGAACATCCTCTCGGCAAGCACATTGGCGGAGCAAGCAGTGCGTGGCATGGAGCAAACCACTTAGAAACGTCACACTTGCTGCTGTTTCTGTAGCCGCAATGCTCGGCATCCTCACATCATTTGAAAAAGCCGTAGTAGTAGTACTAGTATTTGTCATACTACATGACACAAAGATTCATAGTCATCAGCAGTCAACTGCCTTACCTCTGCCAGTCTGATGTGGTCGCCGTTAAAATTGTCCAACGACAAGGGAGAAGGCAGAAGGGCAAGCGCAAAACACGACATGACATCGGTTTGCACCGTGCACCGGTCCTGTAAAGTGGTTGCTTCTGCCGTCTGCCATGGCAATCGGCAGGTGCCATGACCAAACAGTATGTGCGGGTCTCTGACACTATGCAAGATGAAGGAAGCACCCTGGGCTTACTTGAAGCCCATGCACGAGGCTGCAAAAAACAAATTCCTGTAACGAAACTGGATCTGCTAAATCGCACGGCGTTGCGTGCGCGCGCGCCCGACTCGACGCGTGTCTGACTGGACCGCTGGACGCTTGCTGGACTCGCTGGACGCCCGCTGGAACCCTCTAACTAAGTGACCAACTACCTTGAGTAGCAGGATAACAAGCGCAGGATTTAACAAATTCACTAAAGAACCAACTCAACCAACAAACAAGCTGACCAACAAACAACTAAATGGGTGAACTTTAACCAACCAACCAGCCAGCCGGCCAGCCAGCCAACCAAGTTGACTGCTTAACAACTAACTAACTGATGAACTAACTATCTCATTCACTACTAGCGCAACAGCTTGAATAGCTAGCTAACTACCTGACGCACTGACTCACTAACTCACTCCCTGCGTCCCTGCTTCCCGTGACTCCCTCCCCCTTGCTTCCTCACTCAGTCACTTTTTTGCTGTCCTACTCTTTCCCTCTCTCACTGTCTCACTTTCTCACTCGCCCACTCGCTCACTCTGTCCCTCGGTCAGTTTATCCTTTCCTCACTCTCTCACTCTCTCTCGCTCTCACTTCTCTCGCTCGATGACTCACTGCCTCCCGGACCCACTGACTAGCGTATTAACCGACTATCAACTCTGCTATCCATCAAATCTCTCTGGGCAAGCGTCCATGGCCTAGGTATTCTCTCTGAATTTCGACGATCTGCATTGTGCTTGTGACACTTCTTATTCACTCAATGGTGGCTAGCCTTATTGATGCCCAACACCAGACTCTGCACACATGCCGCTCCTGGTCGCCTAGTTGCGTATTGAGACAAGTACAGCTTGGCGAAGGTTTTGCTGCCGTGCTTGCCGTGGCTATGATTTCTATTGAGGAGTGCTCTCACACATTGGCAAATTGGTGGACATACATGCCCATAATCCATGCGACTTCATACCGCAGCTCTGAAAAACGTCTAAGTGCTTTGCTCCAATGAGTTGCCCAGCGAGCCGCACATGACCACCTGTCCAGATCTGCAGCATGAATTAGTGACGACAGGATCCCAAACTCTGCCTCCCTTCATCCAACCAATGTTGACCCATGTTGACCCCGGATTTAATAACCCCCTATTTAATACTATGGGGCGTCCCTGGTTTTAGTGGGAATTCATCACTTTTGGAGGGGAACACCCCCATATGCCCCCCTTATTAGGTTAAGATATAGGGGTTTATTAATCCGAGGTCAACTTGGGGCCCGTAAGGTCTTGAGGAGGTTGGGATCCTACGTCCGCACGAGATGTGCGGCATGGCAATTGGTCCAAGGAAGGAGCCTTCAACGGACTCTCAGATGGTTTTGATTATACAAAAGAACACACAAGAAAAGAAATGGGTCAAACGCCCTCCAAGAAATTGCGTTGCTACGGTTGAAGTTAAGTTCAGCCATCTCAATTCTGCGCAGGGTCCATTGATACATTCCCAAGTGTCCAACGCGAAGAACACTGATCAAGGACATAAGGCAGCACATTGGAGGGCTCTCGTGCGTGCCTGAGAATTCACCTCGATGTCGAA